GAAACAGAATTTGGCATACAAAGGCCTTTGAATCATAAGCGACCACATCTTTTTGCAGGTTGGCCTGGCTGCTTTGAAAGCTGCTCCCATCAAGCTTTATTCAAATATGCCTGACAGTTTGCAAAGTGAAATAGTTACACCAGGCTACATTGGGCAGGAGCAGTTTCTGATGCACTGGTTTTGATAATTTGAAGAGGAATTATCATCCCCTTTCAAAGGCGTTTCATAGCCTTATTGTACAGTAAAACATACGGTAGTGCTTAGCAGCTTAGCATGTATGATCTCATTGAAAGTGAAAAGAAATTATTTCCAGTGCTTATCAACTTCTTGATGTCAGGAACATCTGACACAAAATTACACAAAAAAGCAGCGAAGTAAAGGATTCGCATTTGTGGGAATATGGTTAATAAAACATGGTATTCAAAATATAGGTGTAAAATTAAATAGAAGCTGAGTAACTGCTAACTGCTCCAAATACAAACGGATGATCAAGAAGTACTGAATTCATCTAATTTGGCAATAAAAAAAGTTATTAAGCACTGCAATAATTACACTTTTAATTTGGAAGATACTGCTTTTCAATGCATATCTTGCAAACTTCAGTATGACGGTACCATTTTCTGAGGAGCTAACCAGATACTGCTATGCAATCCACCAGTTTTAAATTCTATATATACTTTCTAAATATTAATAATATATTAACCAATGCTACTTGTTTGTGAAGAGGACAATGATCATAACCAAATTAGTTCAAATAAACCAAATAAGCATGCAGAATTAAGGTTGACAATAAATTTGTAATAAAACTATATAATCTACTATAAAAATAATTCTTAAAACAGTTCTACCATGAAAATGTTTTTTTATGTGGAGTTTTTTGGATAAAAGAATTCACATTAGAAATGTGTTTGTGGGAAGCTGCCTGGAGGAGAGATGGCAATTCATTTAACAAGTCTGAGAGTGGGATGATGACACAAGAGTTAATGCCACAATTTAGAAAAATGAGGAAGTGGATATCTGACATCATAATGGCAACTTAAAATAATGTTGGGCAAGTAGAAGGAATCAGGATTTTAAAAGGGCATTTAAATAAACTGAAAATGTCTTAATCTAAACAATGTCATCCTCAGGTGAACTTATTTGAGATTTGATTTCACTAGACTGATATGTCAGTTTTACTTTGCTTTTCCTTTTTTAAATTGTATTGATCTTTTATTACAAATTACTTTGGATATTCTTTCTAAATATGATATAAATCTATGTTTATAAATAATTCAAATTATACTGAATGAATCAGCTTTTTCAACTTCATAAAATGAGCCTTTGCTGATTTTTAAGGGATTTTTTTCAGCTACTGGTTGCTTATAGCAGGGGTGTCAAACTACCGGCCCGTGGGCCGGTTTCATCATACCGGACCCGCGCCCACCCCATTGCCGGCAATGGCGAAAAAGCTCCAATACGTCGCGCGACGTCACGTGACGTCCCGAGTTTGACATGCCTGGCTTATAGCATGAAGAAATGACCTTGCAATCAAACATATGTATCACTGACTGTATCTACTGGAAATATGTTGATAATCTGGTTTGTACTCTATATTCATAGGTATATATTAGAAGTTCCATGTCTAGTCAGATCATGATTTTTTGCTCAAACTCTTTTAGATTGTACTCTGAATACAGTGTTTTTACAAATACTCATGATTAATAGTACTAACAAAAATGGTAATATCAAAATTACAATTATAGAATGTACACAGAATTTATGAAAAAGATCACATGTGTTGTATACAGGTCTTTGTAATGATTATATAATATGACTGGTCATAGCACTTTTCACACAGGATTTGCTTCAAATGTTTCATTATATTGAAACCTCTCTGCAGTTGTTGCACATAAATACCTGGAAAGTTTAAGGGGATCCTTAAGTAGTGTGGACCATGACATGGAAGGTTTGCCATGGATTAAATTAGATATCTATTGAGCTTCAACTCTTGTGACTTTTGAATCCAACATTCTGCTTGTAGTTACTGGTTATATTAATCTAACATAAAATTACTACTTCAATATTTTAATGTTTCAAATGTAATATATAATCTAGTTATTTTAAAAGATGTAAAAAACATTTTTAGTTTCCAAAGATACTTTATGTGTATTTTAAATATACCTTTATCAAAAAAAATAATGATCAGCAGGGATAGGAAAAAATTAAATGAAAAAAAATTCAAGGCAATGTGTCAAAATAAATATATAATATTTCCAATGAGCAAAAACACTCTCTGGTAATATTAGGAAAGCTGAATTGTGTAAAGCAGATTTTTACCAAGACTTCTCCTTCCTTGCCAGAAGTTTCTTTTTTGTGAAAAAGGGGGATTTAAGACAACTACAGTATGAGTCTATCTTTTATATATTTAACTGTTTAAACTTTTATTTCTGTACTGAAATAGATAAGACCATTTAAAATAAATTATAAAATGTAAAACAGCTTCTCTTATAATTATTTAAAAGTCCAATCTAGTACAAAATAAAGTGGTGCAGATTCAAATTATTGTACTGACATTTTCACCACATAAAAAAGTAAGTTATTTTGATCTCACTTCAATACAACATATTTTAACCTTAGTGCTTTTCCTCAAGTGATATTCTAGGCTTACACTTTACATTTTTAAAACAAGTAAAAAACAAGTAAAGAAGACAGATTACATTTTGTGCGAGAATGTTTGTGAAGTGTGCACATATATTTCTGTAAAAGTTATGGGTATTCATACAAATCATCTTAAAAAATAATTTTGAAATGGACTGTCATTCCTAGATTTTCTAAACAATAGGATCCAGTGCACAAAGTCAACAAATTACAATGGAACTGGCAATATAATTCAAATGCCAATTATCTCCTGCAAACAGTCATTCTTGGTGCAAATGTCTATCCAAAAACAGCCTTCAACCTCTATATGCAAAACAGTTCCTTCCAATAGCAAGGTACTGACTTACATAAACACCAGTGGATGGGCAGCAACAGGCATGAAGGACTTTTTTCTCCTGACATAATTTGAATGGTGATAGAGCTGACTTGATTTGAATATTTAGATACCTGAACAAAACTAGAATAACACTGTATATTCAAAAAATTATTATTTCAAAATAAAATTTTCAAATAATGGGAAAAATAAAGAATTTTCCTAAATTTAATGTCTATACTTTACATCCTGTTACCATGAATGAGTAATTTTAAAACATATCATGTACAAATCATAAAAGTTCAAAATATTTACTTTTAAGCTGTGCCTTTTGCAAAATGTCTGATGTAGGATACTGACAATCTTTTGATGTATTGTGGAAGAGGGAAACTAAACTGCAGGTAACCGATCTGCCGCCCTGTTTAGGGTGTCCCGCTCCCTCCTTCATCAGAGGGTCCGGGATGTCCCTTTGCAGGGTCAGGCAGAGGAATTTGGGTGTTACCTGCATGACAAAATCGATCGGACCCGGGCCGGGTTAGCCTCCGATTGGACTAGTTCAGGTGGGCCAATGGAGGCAGGTCTTGAGTCCATTTTATGGGAAGAGTTTGATCCTGTGACCCCCGAGGACATGGACAGGATGCTGGGACGGCTGAACACCACATGTTTACTGGACCCGTGTCCCTCCTGGCTGGTACTGGCCTCCCGGGAGGTTACACGAGGCTGGCTCCAGGGAATCGTCAACGCTTCTTTGAGTGAGGGGTTCTTGCCGGCTGCCTCGAAAGAAGCTGTGGTGAGGCCCCTCCTCAAGAAGCCCTCCCTGGACCCGGCTACTTTGGCCAACTACCGGCCTGTCTCCAACCTTCGCTTTCTTGCGAAGGTTGTTGAGAGTGTGGTGGCACGACAGCTCCCTCAGCACCTGGAAGAAACTGTCTATCTAGACTCGCGCCAGTCCGGCTTCCGGCCTGGGCACAGCACGGAAACGG